TTTCTGAAGAAGGGTCTAGGCCCGAAACGTCAGCCTTCCTGCTCCTCTGATGCTGCTCGGCCTGCTCTGTTCATCCAGCTCTACACCTTGTTATCTAAGACTGGTAAGGTGGTTGGTAGTGAAAAAAATGATTGTAGGTTAGAGAGCATAGAACATAGAACAGTACAGCACAGTACAGGTCCTTTGGCCCATGATGTTGTGCCGACCTATTATCCTACTAAGATCAATCTACCCTGCATACCCTACATTTTACTATCCTCCATGTGCCTATCCAAGAGTCGCCTAAAAGTCTCTAAAGTATCTGACTCCACTACCACTGCCGGCAGCGTATTCCTCATGCCCACCACTCTCTGTGTGAAGAACCGACCTCTGCCATCTCCCCTATACCTTCCTCCAATCACCTTAAAATTATGCCCCCTCGTAATAGTCACTTCCACCCTGGGAAAAAGTGTCTGACTATCCACTCTATCTATGCCTCTCATCATCTTGTGCACCTCTATCAAGTCACCTCTCATCCTTCTTCGCTCCAATGAAAAAAGCCCCAGCTCCCTCAACCTTTCTTCATAAGACCTGCCCTCCAGTCCAGGCAGCATCCTGGTAAATCTCCTCTGCACCCTCTCTAAAGCTTCCACATCTTTCCTATAATGAGGTGACTAGAACTGAACACAATATTCCAAGTGTGGTCTAACCAGGGTTTTATAGAGCTGCAGCATAACCTCGTGGCTCTTAAATTCAATTCCCCTGCCAATGAAAGCCAACACACCATACGCCTTCTTAACAACCCTATCAAGTTGGGTAGCAACTTTGAGGGATCTATGGACTTGGGCCCCAAGATCCCTCTGTTCCTCTGCACTGCCGAGAATCCTACCATTAACCCTGTATTCTACATTCAAATTTGACCTTCCAAAATGAATCACTTTACACTTTTCTGGGTTGAATTCCATCTGCCACTTCTTTGCCCGGCCCTGCATCCTGTCAATGTCCCATTGCAATCTACAACAGCCCTCCACGCTGAGCACAACTCCACCAATCTTCGTGTCTTCGGCAAACTTACTAACCCACCCTTCTACTTGCTCATCCAAGTCATTTATAAAGAACACAAAGAGCAGAGATCCCAGAACAGATCCCTGCGGAACACCACTGGTCACCGAGCTCCAGGCTGAGTACTTTCCATCTACTACCACCCTCTGTCTTCTATTGGATAGCCACTTTTGTATCCATACAGCCAAATTTCCCTGAATCCCATGCCTCCTTACTTTCTGAATGAGCCTACCATGTGGAACCTTATCAAATGCAGTTATAGGAAGATTTCAATGTGTTGCTCAGATGGCAGATGGTATTAATAAGCGTGAGATGCATTTTGGAAGAAGAAACGAGATGAGAGTATTTAATGCATGGCAGGACACTGGGTAGCTCAGGATCAGAGGGATTTTGGGGTAATTATTCACAGATACCTGAAGTCGACAGGACATGTAAATAGGATAGTTAAGGCATATGGGACACATGCTTTCATCAGCCATGTCATAGAGTATAAGAGCAAGGAGATAATGTTGGAGTTGTACAGAGCATTGGTTAGGCCACAGCTGGAGTACTGTGTACAGTTCTGGTCACCTCACTACAGGAAGGATGTGATAGCACTAGAAGGGGTACAGATGAGGTTCACCAGGATGTTGCCTGGGTTGGAGCAACTGATCTATGAGGAGAGACTGTATAGGTTTGGATTGTTTTCTTTTGAGCGGAGAAGGCTGATGGAGGTATGAGAAACATGATTGAGGCATATGAGATTATGAGGAGTACGGATAGGGTGAGTAGGGAGCAGCAGTTCCCCTTGGTTGAGGGGTCAGTCACAAGGGAGCATAGTTTTAGGGCAAGGGCCAGGAGATTCGCAAGGGATTTAAGAAAAACTTTTTTCACCCAGAAGGTGGTGGGAATCTGGAGTGCACTGCCTGGGAAGGTAGTTTTGGCCAGAAACCTTACATCCTTTAAAAAGATTTTTGGATGAGCACTTGAAATATCATTCGATACGGGAAAAGTGCAGGAAATTAGGATTAGCATGCCTTTTGTTGTAGTTATTGTTGGTGCAGACTTGATGGGCCAAAGGGCCTTTTCTGTGCTGCATGCCTCTATATATGCCTGTGAAACAACGCATAATAAAAGCCATTTAGCGGTCTAGCCAGATTTGTTATTTTGCTTATCCCTTAACTGTTTGTTTGTTTGTTTGTGTGCCTGTATTTGTGTGAATGGGGCTGAAAACAGCTGTTTTGTGTTTAAAGCACCAACACTAATCAGTTTACTATGTTGTTTAATATTCTCTCTGCTAGCGTTATTGTGTATTTAATAAACTAAGTCTTTAGTTTGAGGTATAAAACTAATATCTGGAAGTTAATTGTTCCCAGAATCTGGGATTGATTATTCAAAAGTCTGATTAGGTATCATTGAAGTGAGTATTTGAGGGTTTTGCTATGTTGAGAATACAGAGGTGGAAAGGTTGATTTGGTTGGGATGTCTGCCTCCGTGTCATAACAGTACGCTTTGTTTTCTTCCTAATGCTAATTGTCTTAAATCGATTCACTGATCCACCTGCCAGTAGAAACAGTTTTTCTTTATTCTGTACCTAAAAGTGACATCATTTTGAACACATCCATTAGATCTCCCCTTAACCTTCCCTGCTGTGAAGAGAACATAGCAACTTATCTTTCTGTCCTTTGTATGTTATATGTAATGTAACAGAATTTTAATTTACACCAGGTTTCACTTGTTAATGTTCAACAACATAACTAATTTCTAGAGTCAGCGACAAGAAAGACTTCTTGGAAAATTCACTTGTAGAAAAAGATAAATTGTTGGCAGAAACCTCAGCAAAACTGCTACAGATGGATAAATTGAAGGAATCACTGGAAACCCAGAAGATAATTAACCAAGACCTTACAGTAAAGCTATTACAAACTGAAGAAAATGTAAGTGTTCTAACGTGGGCAAATACAACGATGTAATTACAGAGAGAGTTGAATCTGATTCATTTAACTCGTTAGAAGTATAAATTTGTGCGTTTATCTTCGAATTAGAACATAGAACATAGAACATTACAGCGCAGTACAGGCCCTTCGGCCCTCGATGTTGCGCCGACCTGTGAAACCAATCTGAAGCCCATCTAACCTAAACTATTCCATTATCATCCATATGTTTATCCAATGACCATTTAAATGCTCTTAAATTTGGCAAGTCTACTACTTTTGCAGGCAGGGCATTCCACGCCCTTACTACTCTCTGAGTAAAGAAATTGGGAAGCTATATGTCTATATGGGATATACTTTAGGCAGAGAAAACAATTTCCTCTTTGATTCTGGTCCTGGATTGTGACTACAATTGACTCTTTCTATCTGTGCTCTGTATCACGCTCAATCTTAAGTGCTCTGCCACCTTATTTTACATGAGAAGTGCTATATAGTTGCAAGTCGTACTTCAAAATTACCCTTGGCTTAGTTCCTCCTATTGTCTACAAACAGTTATCTCACTGTACAACCATTGCCTTGTGATACAATTGTATGTTTTCTTATTTAAGTCTTAAAGTATAAAATGGAATTCATTTTGTTTATTTTGATTGGTTTTGATTTTCATTAAGAATTGTAGTAGTGACTAGAATTTGTCCCATTACAGATTCTGATATCTAGCTCTGTTCAAAGATGAGTAAATGACAAGCATGGGTTTCACTCCCTGTGTAATTTTGAAGTTTCATTCTCTTCCTTTAGTCAGTCCTTCCTTTTGCAAGCTCCATGCAAGTAGTGAGGTTTCCTCCTATTTGCCTAGAGTACAAGAAATCACAAACCTTCGTTTTGTTTGTGTATGACGGTGAACAAAACAGTTTATTTATAATTTTGCAAATAATGCTTACTGGTTTGACTTGCATGCTATACTAGCAATGAATGCCACAGGCCA